GCAACGTGCAGGTGGCAACTTTGATGCTTCTGAGCAACGTGCAGGTGACAGCTCCACGCGTGCTTATGTGTTCTGGGTGTCAATTCTGCTGCTATTTGGGCTATGGGGCTTTGTGGCCCTGTGCTGAGTGGACCCTGGTGGGCGGGAGTTTGTGTTTCTACTGAGAGCATCTCCGTTTCTCCACGCGCTCTCTGAAGTAAATATTTTCTCATGTGGGCAAGCATTTTTTTACGCATTTTTTTTTCGTTTACGCATATATATTTATTTATTCGTTTTGTACCCTCAAATTGCGTTCTTTCATCGGCTGCAGCACAGCGGGGTCCTCATTTATTTTATTTCGTCCTTTTTGTTTTTTTATATTGTTCGCCTCTAGCAATGCCGTGGCTATTCACCTATTTTCTTTTTAGTGTATCGGTTCTGTATTTTGTTGGTTTACTGCTTTACGGATGTGTTTTTTTTGTTGGTTTGTTGGTTGTTATTTTGTCGGTTCGTTCGTGACGAGGGCGTTGAGCCTGCGTGTTTGTCTGGCAGCATGAGATGCTTCACTGCGCCCCCGCACTGCGGTCGCTGCGGGAGGGAGCGGGGCTCTCTTTTTTACGTCCTGGTTTGTGGTGGGTGCGGACATGTGCCACGGTGCTGGCTGACGCGCAGGCCACTTAATTCGTTCGAAAAGACACGAATAAAAGCAACTAACCGCTTTCGTTGTGTGGCTGCGGACGCTCTCGGCATTGTGTGTCCGCCGATGGGAGAAGGAAGGAGGAAATAAATGAGAGCCACAGCAACGCACTGCGGGCCCCTGTGGAAGTCAAACGGTGTCTGTTCACCGGGGGCTTTCAGTGGTTGAAACGAATATATCATTTTTTTTTTATATGCGGCCAAAACATGAACACTTTTTCGTTTTGAAGGGTAACACAGGGGCCTTCCACGACAACATATTTTGCTTTTGCTTGTGAAAACGTATTTAGGAGTAATTTTTTTTTTTTTGTTTGGTAAATCGTTTTTCATGTGTGTTGCCACTGCACGGGCTGCGGTGCCATTTTGAGTCTTAGTCATCGAGTTTTCCCATCTTTGCGTCCTGCACCTCTTCTGTGTGTGTATGTGCGTCCTCACTCGCTTTGATCCTATTTCCTCTTTTTATTTTTGTATCTGCAGGCACACACGTACACGACATATATTTACTGCAGTGCACGTGGAGGATGCTTTCGTAGTTGGTGCTGGCAGTGCCGTCTGTGGCTATGAAGAGGCCGAGGCAACGACAAAGGAATAGTGTGCGCTGTGACTCACTCCCTTTCCTTGCGAAGGCAGCGCGCTGCGTGTGGGAGTGTTGTCTTGAAGCGCGGCGCCGCCAACTACAACGGCGCGGCACGGGGTGGGTGGCTTCTTTTGTCTGAGTTTGCTGCTGCTGTGGGTGCGTCCGCGCGGGCACTTTGTCCTGCCCCCGTCGTTGGGCCTTTCTTTTGGGTTGTGTGGCTTGGTGGCGACGGTGGCGGGGTGTTTTTGCCACCACTTTCATGCGTTGCTGTGGTGGAGCCTTGCGGGGGCGTGCGGCCTAAGAAAGAAATGCGGAAGATTGTGTGGGGCTCACTGGGTGGTGCGGTGGCCGCAGAGTGGGGCTGCCGCTTCTGCTCTTGCAGAGGGGAATATGCTGCCGCACTCTTTTTTGTTGGCTGCGTCGGGGGCAAATGTGCCGGCGTCTGACAATCTGCGGGTTCCACCGCCACGACGACTGAAGGAGGCGGAGGTGTCTGCGGCTGCCTTCGCAGGCTGCACCCCGTGCGGCCCAGTCGTGTGGCAAACAGTTCCCTCGCGGAATTCACGTGCACCGCACCACGTGCTGGGCGCAGCGTATATTTGCGTCGCGGGGGACAATGCGGTGGCGTCCATTCTCCTTTTCGCGGGTGAAGGAAGAGGCGGCGGGTGTTCTGCTCCTTCGCACCTCAGCGAATTGCAGCGCAAAATGCCACCGCGACGAGGCAGTCAA